TGCTGTATAGTAAATAAAAATGCCTAGGGTTGGTGAGGTTGTAGGGAAGTAGACAGACTCATTCACCAGGCTGGGAGTGTAAATTAGTATAGCATTTTAGGAGGGTAAGTCGGCAATACTTGCAAAGACCTTAAAAATAGCCATCTCCTCTGACTCAGCAATTCTGTTTCTAGGAATTTATCTTTGGGAATATATCATGGATGCATAAAGATATCTAACTATAAATTTATCACAGTGTTTACAATTGTTAAAAATTGGAAACGATTAACTTGTTACAAAGGATTAGTTAATTATCCAATACTCATAAAATGAAGAACAATTTTAAATTATATAGATGAATCGATTATTACATGGGAGTTTTTCCATATATTTTTAACTTAAAAGAGAAGTGATTAAAATAAGACTAAAATAGATGATATTTAATAAGCAATTCCTAGGTACCTATCACTGTTTACTGCTTTTTGCTGATATTCCACAACAATCTCTGGAATTTGAGCCATTTTTAATTCATATTTTACAGATTAGGAAACTGAAGAACAAAGGGTTTATGTAACTTATCCAAAGTTATCCCACTGGTCTGAGACAAAGCCAGAACTTAGCTTCAGTTCATCTGTCTCTAGAGTCCCAGATATTGTCCAATGATCCTATTTTCATTAGATAAAAACAAATGCATTTTAAAAACTGTAGATGTATGTTTGTTTTAAAATGCTATATTAACATCTGATTTTTCTGTTAAACATTTTTTTTGTAAATTTCACACAATGTTTTGAATGAATATGTATTGCTTTTGAAGGGGCGACTTATATTTTCAAGAGAGCAGTTGATAAGTGCTGCACGCACTAAGGTTTTGTGCCATTTTCGAGGCTTAGAGCTGGTTTGGGTTTTAGGCAGTGGAAGGATAGACCATCTCAGAAGGGAGAAGAGGAAGAAGTGGGCAAGGTCTGGGGTGATGAATTCCATGCTGCTGCTGCTGGTTGGTGGCTGAGCTCTGTGCAATGCTAACAGTGACCTGGTGGACATTTCAATATTTCATGCTGTTTGTAACTCACATCATTGGAACAAGGCTCGATTCCAAGTGGGGACAAGAATGTGAATTGCTACCAAGTAAAGAGTATTTATTTTCCTCTTGCCCAGCCACATGTCTGTCCTCGTCACATTTTATTGGAGCGTCACTTTCCATATGAATCAGCTGGGACCACTTGATGTAGCACGGTGTTGTTACACGAAAGTATTTTCCCTTTAACATAGAATGAAAGGCATCTGATAGAATAGTGCTGTTCACACCCAAATGTTCTCAATTTCTAACTGGAAGGTCAAACAATGGGGCAATCAATATGGCTCTTTAGTTTGGATTTTGATCTTAACTGTGTATCTTTCTTCTCTAAACCAACTGAAGGTTTTATTCGTTCATATTGATTCTGATTAACTTTACTATTGAGAAAGTTGGCAACTCATTACATCAAAGATTTTTATAGTGAAGCATAATAATTCTTTAAAAAGAGTTCAAGATGAGGTTTTTTTTTCCTTTGTTCTCACATATCAAACTCTGTTATATGCTGATTATAAAATAGTTTAATTTTCTAATATAATGATTATAGCATCTCTTTAACTCGAAAATTAGTTTCATCAACTATTAAAATGCTCTTCATATTTACTGTGCTTACAGCCTTTTAAGTAGAGCCAATATTCTTTTATATATAGAAAAAAATTGAATAGTTTAAGGATAATTGTAAGTCACATTAAAAATTTTAAACCAAATTCCATTCTCAGTAACTTGTCCTTTGGCTCCAAAATCCTGAATCATTACTCAGAAACAGACTTCTTGTACTCTTTCACTCACTGGCTAATTTCACCAGGAATTAACTGTTAGTATGCTCTTGATAAAAGCTTTATGATATAGCATATTGTTTCTGAAAATGTAAGGGACGTGAAAATGTCCATTTTTCTGATTATGGGACTTTATATTCTGATTAGGTTAAATTTATAATACTATCCTGCAGAGATGCCTTCCTCAAATCGTTGCCTAATATTATGCAATCTTTGCCTTATGGAAAGGTGAGTGTACAAAAATGTGTAATCCATCAATTTGAAGAGTTTGGCTTGTAAAACTGAAGGTAAATACATTACTATTTTATCCAAGATCCTTACATTTGAGTGAAATGAAGTCCTCCCAGATGTCAGCCCAGGAAGATCCTCCGAATAAATTCAGAGTCCTGCTTTTGTCACCAACTGATGCCATTTTTCCTTTGCTGACAGATATCTCAAAATTAAACTTAGATTTTATTTGAAGTGCTGATACCTAGGAATGAAAGTATCTATAGATTCCTCCCTCTAAATTTTCCTTTGACAATGCTTTAATTACATGTGCTTAATTATTTAATAGATGCTTTAAAGTGCTAAACTTGTTAGAAATAATTTTCAAAGTTCTATATATAATTATTACAGTTTTAAACATGAAATGTAAGTGTTCCATTTTTATTATATAAATGCTCTCATGAAGAGTTTGGCAAGTTGGGATGTAACAGAACAATTTTTTATTGTATATTCTTGTTTTAGAAGTTATTGTATAACAAGGGTAGAAAAGGAAAATTTTTTTTTACTATTTCATTTTTAATTATAACACTAAATATTCAAAAGTGTTCACTTCCTATTACAAACTAGTATGTTTCTTTTTTCTTTTACCCTTTGCCTTTTCCCAAAAGATATCCCTTGTAGCAGACAAACTGGAAGAGTGGAAGGAACCAAACTTTCATCAATAGAATTAATAAATTACAGTTTGTTCACATTACAATATACTATATATACAATATACTATATACAATAGTATATAGTAGTCTAAAAAATGAGACCGATCTATAGACTAGCATAAACAGATTACCCAATCATATTGATAGATAAAAAATGAAGTTGCAAAATACATACAATTTATCACTTAGGCAAAAATTTTGCATTTTCAGGGCTATATTTATGAATGTAAATTCTCAATAAAAATTCAAGAATGCATGCTAAATTTCTGTCTAAGTCCAAGGGAATAGATTTGATGGTTGTGGAAATTCAAAGGGCCTTCAGACTTTTATTTTTTAAAATTTTTAAAATTTATAACATGTATTTTTTTAAGGTAGTTTTCTATAAAAGTGCCAAACATAAATAGCTTTAAGTATATCTCTAACTTTGATGACTGTTTTAATGTCCCTATGTGGATTCTGGGTTTTGCTGACACAATGCTAGGGACATTGAGAAACAGGAAATGGTCATTTACCAAATTAAAAAAAAATGCTTTTGCTATAAAATATTACTCTTTATACTGATACCTCTTGTTCTTCTGTTGACCTTCCTTAACCCTCAAGAAATCATGGAAATTTTAAGATAACAGTACAATGACTATGGGTTGAAGCGAAGCTAAATTGGACCCAAGTCAGCTTGGCGAATTATCAAGCTGTTTTTGTATTTATTTCTTTCAACTTTAACATTGACAATTTATTAAGTGAGACTGTGTATCAAAGCGGAAGCTGAGAATCCTGTTTGGACACCGTTTAGGAAGGAAACCAGGTCTTTATGGGGCACCCCCTTCCTCTTAGCTGCTGGCCAGGAAAACCATCTTTCTGTATAAAACCTATTCAGTCTGAGAGAGGTGGGGTCACTTTGGGAAGGAAGATGACCTCTCCCTTGTAAAGTGGAATTGCTCTGTTTCCCCCATGACTTATTCAACTCATGTCTACCACTGTTTATAAGAACACTTGTGCGAATGCTTTTAGTGACAGCAATAGTCATTTAAAATATGACTCAAATTTCATGGCCTCAGGTTTCCTGTGCTATTTAAATATTTGATCATTATAATCCCAAATACGGCTTTTGATAAACTGAGGTTTTGCTGAGGCCCTTTTAGAGGTATGCTGCTTAAAAGCTAGAAGTTTAATCAATACATACACTACTACTGTGCATAATAAAAGCATGGCTGCTATCAAATCTGAAAAGAGACTGATTAAATCAAGCTAATTAACATGTCTTTTATGGGAGCCAAATAGTTTACAAAATGATATAGGAGATGTTTTTCTCAGATGTTTTATATGCTGGGATCCACAAGTCGATTTGTATATAGAACTGATGTGACATGCTAGCCAACAGAGGCTATCAAAGGAACTTGTTTACTTTGGAGATTTGTGGGCACTTTGTACAGTTTTGAATGTTTTTGGATTTTTACCTCAATTTCAGCTAGACTAATTTATTTATTTAATTGCATTGTTTCCTGGCTAGTGAAACTCTCACTGATCATTTTATTACAATTAGTTCCTTTATTCATTTCTTTAAAATAGCTTCATAATCCTTTGGGGAGAGGATAATTTTAGATTTACAGAAAAGTTGCAAAGAGGATAGAGTTCCCATGTACCTTTTACCCAGTGTCTCCTAATGTTAACAGCTTATATTACCATGGTGTTATTTATCAAAACTGAAAAAAAACCTGACATTGCTACATTACTATTAACTAAACTCTGATCTTTATTTGGATTTCACCAGTTTTTGCTTCAATATCCTTTTTCTGTTCTAGGATCCAATCCAGAGTACCATATTGCATTTAGTTATCTTATCTCCTTAGTCTCTGCTGATCCATAACACTTTCTCTACTTTCCTTTTTTTCCCATGACCCTCATGATCTTGAAATGTTTTTAGAATATTCATCATTTCTGAGTAATTGAAAATGTGTAACTGCTGGGATTTTTGAAGGAAAAGCCCATGTAGTCTAATCGTGATTTGCACAATAATTTTTCATTAGCACGTAAGTTTTGGCTTGGTGATTGTTACTGTATCTTCCTATCTAGAATGTGTTATAATAGCACTCTAGAATTAAAGGTTGATAGATAATGGATTTAATATTCATGTAGTGTTTGCCTTATCTGTGATCATTCTGTATTCTCAACTTCACCATTGTTTGTTTGGGTTGTTTAGTTTAAATCATGTAGAAAGTTTTCACCAATATGTATTTTATCTTTTATTTGTGACAGATTAGAGATGGACAACCAAATGGTTACGTATTGAAGAATAAAGATTTAGAACAAGCTTTTAAAGGAGTTATTTACTTAGAGATGGACCTCATATATAATCCGGTAAGTCTACGTGGGCCAAACCTCCCAACTTTTCTCCACCTAAAAGAAAAGGTGATCAACCTTTAGGGACTCAAGTCAATGAAAACTCTTTCAGATTTGTTACATCTGGAGAAAGGAAGGATCAGTGTTTTAAAACTCGGCCATAAAATGTGCTGGACATCCCAGCTTTCAACTGGTATTAACTCTCTGGAGTCAGCAGAATTGATAGGTTTAATTCTCAATAAATTTAAATGTCAAGGAAAAAATAAAGGGGAAATTCGTTTTTTGTAATCTATATATTATATAAAATCTATAAAATATAAAATTATCTATTTAATCTATATATATCTTTATAATATGTAATAAATACTCTAATATATGATGTATAATAAATTACATATATATTTGTATGTGTGTGTACACACACACACACACACACACACACACACACACATTTTTTCTCAAATTTCCAGCAATGCTAGCAATCTGGGCACAGTCTCCAGTATAAGGGCATGATGTTCCTCCTCCTTCCCATTTCCTTCAAGGAAATCATATGTGCATGTTATAAAACAGATCACCCTCATCTCCTGATTTCTTCTGGCAAGCATTTGTATATAGATTATGCCCACAGGTAAAAACCTAAATTTAAGGGAAAAGAGGAAAATATTTTGGTTAAGTAATTTTTCAGTTATCCATCTACTATAGAGGAGAAGGACTTGAATTTGACTCTTTGAGATTTTACCCAGCCATAGTTGCTTCCCTGTACAATGGGGCAAAATGGCTCATCTACTTATTTTTCCAGGTCCTTGAAAGGAAATGGGATTCTCTTTGGAAAGAGTGTTTTTATAAGCTGGAACTTGGTATTCATATGCCAGGTATTATTGGTGAAAGCTTAAGTGAAAAGGATGTGAGAGGGAAGTTTTATCTTTTAGAGATGTAAGTTAAAGAACTTCCTGAACCTCAATCTCTGCAATGGTTTAAAATACTTCCATGGAATTAGCAAAGTGGAGACAATACTCTCCTGGATCCAGTCTGATCTGCACCAGGGACTCTTATGAAATGAGATCCCCAGAAACATGTGCAGGGCACAGGGGTATCTGCCATTTCTTGGCTCCTTGCCAAAGGCCACAAGGTCAAGAAGGAAGATACTGGCTTGCGCGTTCTTCCCAGTCATTAGGAGGAAAACAAGAATGAAGTTCGTATAAATGCTGCCCTTTTTAACGATGATGTCTTTGTAGGTCAAAGCAAGTATTAGGACCTTTACTCCCAGAGAAAAGCGCTTTGTTGAAGACAGCCGCAAGCTGTCCAAAAAGGTAGGTGGGTACAGTAAGCAGCTTGTTGGTGCACTCAGCGTCCAGACATGAAATAGTTGCCATTACTTCTCTTTCTCCCTCTCTGTCCTTCTCTCCCCATCTCTTCACTTTGTTTTCTTTGTTCCCTGCTCTCCCAAAATAAGGACTTCAACCAGCTTCATAAAAAGGAGAAAACTTAAAACATGGCTATTGGATGAAGCAGGTGTCAGCCCCTTTTCTCCTGAATCATTCCATGAATGATTGCTAGCGTCACGACTCCATAAGCGTCATCCCGAATTGACCTGTCCCTGTCTCACCTACCCTCTTTTAATCACAGCTCTTTCAGGCTCCGCCCTAAGGTTTCAGGGAGGTGTTCTACCTGTGCAGTCACTATCGTAATTAACCCATCAGATCTTACAGACTTCTGGCCTACGGGTTCGCCCAGTTTTGTGCTGAACATTCTTGAGACAGGCTACTCCTTCCACCTTCCTGTCGCCTAAATTTGGGGTGTGTTGGCATTTCACCCCACATTGAGTGAAGTTATCTCCTCTTCTGCCTGTTGCCCTTAATTTCTCTCTCATCAGTTCAACAAAAAGTGAAAATCAGGGCCCAGCAGGGAAAATTTCACATTTTTTTTTTTTTACCATGACCTTTACATTTATTTTTCAGTGTCTCTCCCTGTCATACCCAGACACAGTTCAGGACTTCACTCTGTACCTATTGTCCCGATTCAGTTGTGTAACAAAGAACAAACTGTCCCCTTTTAAAAGTGTTTATTACTTCCCACACTTCCTTTGGGGTGAGCAGCTGTTGATTACATAAAGTAGTTAAATATAAAGGCATCTTATCATCCTTTTGTTTCTCATGAACTTCTGGGCAGACACGGGAAAGGCCTTAAACTTAGCCTTCTGAGGGGGAGCTTCCAAACGTTTTGTTTTGGTCTGCCGTAACATTGAGTGTAATATTTATTTTCTGTAATCTGAGTAAATGTCTTATTTTATTATTATTATTGCCTTTTGCTCTGTTTACTTGAAAGTTAAAACCTAAGTTAAGGAAGGTGGGGTAGCCGCTTTGCAAACACGTTGAAATGAATCTGCCTACCACCGGGAGAAAAGACATTTCCGTGGCAAAACATGACCTCCGTGTGGGGTGGCTTTGGTGCTCTGATACCACCAGGGGACGTTGGGCTAAAATCCTGGGATGTGCTAGAACCTTCCCCACGTGCCTTTCACAGCTTAAGGTCCCCAAATTTTCATAACGTTGACATATTTGCTTATGATACAAATGCTTAAAAGCACTTACTATGTGACAGGTACTTTTCTAAGCCCTTTAATTCTCTCAATAAGTTGTAAGTTTGGAACTAATATCTACCCTATTTTATATGAGTAAGTTAGGTAATTTTCCCAAGGTGAACTGGATTCCTTTCTCAAAACTATGCTTTATGAATAGATTTCTGGACTGTATAAACTATAATACTTGTATGTTTCTACAGTAAATCTATCCATTTATTTCCAAGCTATACAATATAGACACACATTCCTTCCCCCTCCCTCCCCCTTTCTCTCCATCCTTCCCTCTCCTCCTTTCTCTCTCTCTCTCTTTCTCTCAAACACACATAAATTCCCACACAGAATACCTGGCTGCTGTAGCCTTCACTAGCTCAATTTTGGGCTGAACATTATTGAAACAGGCTATTCTTTATCAAATAAGTACTAAAATGCATTGGAGTTTCTTTTTCTCTATGGGTGATAACATTTTAAAAATAATTTTAAAGGTATCAGGTTTTTTCCTTTCTATTATTTTTTTTAAATTGGCAGCTCTATAGAATATAATTTAAATGATTAGGCTATCTGATCTAAAGGGGATATTTGGAACATTTAAATCTAGTTTCCTGTTTTTCACTTTTTAAAAATCAGATCTTATCAAGAGATGTAGACCGAGTGAAAAGAATCACTATGGCAATATGGAATACAATACAGTTCCTTAAAAGCTGCTTCCAGTGGGAATCCACATTAAGAAGTGCAATAGCATTTGTGGTAAGCTTCCTTTTTTAATGTTCAAATTATTTGCTGCTTATTGGTATCCATTCATCTTTCTGAAATATATTATAGCACAGGTGATGATAAGAGGTTGTCTTTTTGAAACCATACTTAGGTCTCAAAAATATACCCTTGGAAATCTCTTAAATTACCCAAATCTTATAATACTGTCTCTTGGTAAATTCGAGATAGCCAATGTTCTATATATTTTATGTTTCTCTAGTTGCTACTATAGCCACATTTGTATAGTCCCTGCATTGTGTATATTTCTCTCTCTCTCTGTGCTAGTGACTGGCAGTAATTTTTGAAAAATGGCAGCTGAAAAATCACATGACTAAATTATAACAGAATTTCTCTAAATTATGTATTAAACTAATCATTCATGAACTTTGATATTAAAAACACTTATTTGTATCAAGTCACTTGAGACATACTCATCCCTATAATTATGATTTGACTCAGCACCACAAAGCAGAACCACTCCTGTTTATGAAATGTACTCTTTTTCTGATAACATTGGCCCATGTTTATGAGCATAACAAAATCACAGAATCAAAGACCTGCAAGAGATCTTAAAACCATGTAAGTCTACCACCAAGAGTCCAGGAATCTTAGAAGGACTTCAAAGTTGGCACAACAACCTTACTGTACATCTCTGGGCATTCGCCCTCATTTGTGATGGGACTTGTCCTTCATCAAATTGGCAATGTCAGCCATGGTAAGAAATCAAATCTGCTAACCGCAAATCCTTGTATGTTGGTATTACACCATACACAATTTCTGTACTGTGCAAAAATCACTATGGAGACTAATATGAGGTATGTGAGTGGTCTGAGAGTGAATATAGGTCATGATCGTTGGTGAGTCTGATTTTTGCATTTTACATGGTTCTGTCTCATGTTTTCTGTTAGGATATCCTCAATGGTCTCTCCTAGCCCACAGGTTTAGCCTCATATGAGATATAAGCCCCCAAACCCAAGACGTCAATGAGTTCAAGGTCATGCCCACCTTTTTTTATGCAACCAAGTATATCAGCGCCATAAGAGGCTTTCTCTTTGCCAGTGGGGGGAGCGTTTTGTTTGGTCTAGTTTCTTTTCATTTTCCATTGCTTCAGTATAGGGGACCTATGCTGCCTGCAGGCTTGACCCTTAATATACTTTTTTCTGCTGTCTGAAGTTGCTAAAACATTTGGCCTTAATAAAAACATTGAGAAGGATTTTATTAATCCATATCTGTCATTGTCTTGGCATTTATTTATCCACTTCCCTTTCTTATGTTCTCCTCGGCTGGTGGCTGCATGTGTTGGGCTCCTCTTCAGCCTCCCCAGCTCCACTCCCCACCTGAATTCCCTTTCAAAACTTTCCATGGAATGTTCAGATGCAATTCTGGGCAAAAGAGGAAAGTGAACACAATTGGTGGCTTCTTCCAGTCAGCACCCCAGCCAGCCGCTGCCAGGAGGAGAGGATTTCCTCTTTCTCGAGTTTAGTTTCTGGCACTGTGCTTTTAGAAAAACAGAGATCTGTTGCCCTGGATTCTGTACGGGGATGACAGAAATGATTAATGGGCTGCCTGCCTGATCTGAAGAAAGATTAGAACAAATGAATAGAAATAGGTTGTCTAATAGAGGGGACTTCGCAACGGGAAGGGAGCCTTGGCAGTGGGGCTGCTTCTCCACTCACTGCCTGTTCCCTGAGGGTGTCCTCCCAGCTGAGCGCCACTTTGGAGAAGAGTCCTCTGCCAGGCTGGTGAGCGCAGGCTGCCACTGTGTCCTCTCCGGTCTCTGAGGCCAGCAGAAAGGAGGATCAAGGTGGTGGTGGTCTTGCCGGTTTTCCAAAGTGCGATTGTGCAAGGATGCTTGGGTTAATTCGACTGTACAAGGTCCCCCTGTATGTGTGTATAGGGGACATTTCCCACTAGACATCATCGGGGGAAAAATGTAGAGTCAATTAAAAATGCTGTATACATGAACTCTGTTTTGTTTGTCCTGAAGGTAGTGGAGTGAAAAGTGCTCACTTGAACAGATTTTTCAGTTTTAATTTGAAACTCTACTTTCAAAAGCTTATATCATATATAAGTTAACCAGCCATGGTGGATCTCAGAGATACTACAGACATAGCAAGGTGGATAGTTCCCTTCCATAAGCTGATGAGGTATAATTTTATTAAAAACTGTTTTTGTTACTATTATTGTAATGGTCATTTCAAAACCATTTCTGCTAGTAAAGTAAGAGACTATAAAGAAAATGCTTTTCTAGGACAAAATAATTACCTCTTCTGTTTTTTTTGTTTTTTTTTAAGTAAGACTGTAGGTAGCCAAGGCTTCATTTATTGGAAAACATTTTGTGTTCATGGATCTTGCCTGTAAACTTGTCAGCCATCTATAGAGGACCGCACTGTTGTGTCCCTGAGTCTTTTCGCAAAGTGTTGGATCTTTGGGTAACCCGGGCCATGGAGATAGGTAGGGAGGCTGTGAGGCCCATGTCCTCTGCCTTTCTTCACTTGCGGAGTACCATATTTGTCAGCGGTGGTTAACACGGAATGATGTTCTCCTGTGGTCTGTTGAGGACAGAATGCTGCTTGGAGTCTTTATTCATCATCGTGACACTTTGTTCATGTTCCAACTGCTCGCCTTGGCATTACGGGGCAGAATAGTTTGGCGGTAGTCTGAGCAAGGTGTGGAGCCAAGGATTTATCAGATGATCTGACTGCATTTGAAGTTGAAGGCCCTTATCCTCAAATTGAAATTAGGAGAAGCGATATTTGAGGGTTCACTGCACAGGGGTGAAAGGAACCATCTGGGCTCAACCAGTCCTCAGTGGGGCGTGTCTTCCCACAGAGGTACAGAAAGTGATGCTCACAGCACAAGCTAAGGGCAGGAACGAAGGGATTTTTTTTTCTTCTGTTTCGTGAGAAAATGTAAAATATTCTATTAACTTCATGTTCTGGTCTCAATTTCCAGAGGATATAAAACATGTATGTTGTAGAATCATGTTTAGTATATTCTGACTGCTAATCATAAGACTTTGTGAAAACAAACCATATGTTTTCCATGGATGCCTATGTATGTGTGCATGAGCATAATCATCTATCATTGAAAGCAGTTAATGCAAAAGAGCCTCTTAAGATCTAGGTCCACGTGGTGTCTAGTCAGAAGTAGATGGATAAACATAAGAGAATCATCTTGTTGAACTGTCCAAGCATCAACTTCCTTCACCATAAGAATTATGCCCTCTCTACCCACATGGGTGGTTGTATTCCCAACACTAAGAGAAGAAAGATATCTTTAATTCAGTGATACCTGCTATGTTAATATTGTTGGATACTGTTGAATGTATTGTTATTGTAAGAAATTAAATATAGGCTTTTTTAGGGTGGTCAAACCATTCCAAATTATTTTTGTACATACTCAATTTTTTTTGTTAGAATGAATATCAAAAATCTTTCTCCTTCTGTCTTTGAGTCTTGCTCCTTCCCCTAAGTTTTCTAAGTATTTTGGCATGTTGCCTTTTTCTAAGCTTTATTATTTGTACTAAATTAAATATTATTTTCTTTTTTTTCCCATTCAAAAAGTCACATTCTTGACTTTTCCAGTTGAAAGATTAATATAAGATGTCAACTTATTGACTGAGGGCAAATATAACTAAAATATTGAAGTAGGTACATCTGTATATTTCCTATGAAAAGATTTGGAAATACACATGGTATTTTATACACATGTACTTGGTCATTCTCACATAGACATTGACTCTGTGTACATTAATAGTTCATGTTATTTCAGTGCTTACTATGTAAGCAGATGCCAAGCATTTTACAAATGTTAAGTCATTTAGTTTTCACACAACAACCTGACAATGTAAGTGCTGATTACTATCTTCTTTTTACATATGAGAAAAAAAAATGAGCCTACAAAGATCAAAAGACAGAGCTCTCATAGGTGTTTATGAGGCAGAAGTGAAATTTAAACCCAGGTCATCTGGCTTTAAACCGTATGGGCTTAACCATTTGGCTACACTGCCTCCCGTCAATGCCCAGGATGTAGTGCTTGCTGTCCTTGCATTTAGATAATGACTCTAAGAGCCACCCTATAGATCATTTCACATATGTGTTTAGATGTTATATAAGAATTTAGCCTGTTCCATTGGGGAAAGAAACCTTCCTTATATGGGTGGGAAAAAATCTGTAGCCCAGTCATTGTATTTATAAATGATGGAGTAAAAATTACAGAAGCTAAAGGTAGAAATGCCTTTAGCATCACTTGGGAATAACCCAGGTAGACTATGGGACTTACATACATGTGACATTCCTGAATGTAGCTGGATAAGCTGGAAAGCCCTGGTGCCTTGTTGTAGACCAAGCCCCAGATTGGAGTCTGAGTTATTTTTTCCCCATTTTTGGGGAATGCTCTTAGATAATGTAGTAGGGTTTTCAAGGAGAGAAGAAAAATCAAAGGCTGAAAACAACTAAAGGGAAAAGGTCATGGATGAAATCTGTACTTGTCAGGTTTTCTTTAAGAATTCCAAGTTGTTCAAAAAAAGGATGGGGTAGAAAGGAGTGACTACATTAATATGTCCTTCAAAATATCTTAAAACATTAATGGCTTTCAAAGACATAGGCCCATATTTCTAGTGGGGGGAGCTCTATTTCATATCCCCAGTGTCTCAGTGTAAACAAATTATTTGATGATAATGTAGATGAATTTGTTCTCAGAAGATAATTTTCCATTGTCCCATTTATACCGTAGAGCCAATCATGTGTATCAGTATTTAGTTTTGTTATTAGGTATTGATATTTTATAAGCCCCAATATTGTCTATAAAAAGACCTAAAGTTACATTATTATATAAATCCATTTTTCCATGTGAGAAGTAGCATTTACTTGACAGATGGCATCATCAGAAGGTTATTTTAAACAGCAAAGGTCTCCTGACGCTTTTAAAATAGAATTACATTTATGTGCTTTGGCTTTTCTGCCGATCTTTCAGGCACACACCTATTGTAT